TTTTTTTTGGTACAACTAGCAATGTCGACGATATCAGTAATCTCTTGTGGAATCATCTGTTTGTATGCTCTGCTTGCAGCTCATGTTGTTGAAGGACCACGGCCACCCCTTGTCCTTCTTAAACTGATGTGTATCTAAGTAGCTCCTTCATTATTCTCTTCTTCTATTCCGTCGACCACACAATGAAGTATAGTACAACACGCTAGTTGTAGGTTTTTTTCAACATTTTTTTACGTAATATCCATACGATTGCTTTTGTTCTCCCATTTGAGTATTACATTTGAATTTTTTACGCACACTAGAACTACGCTTATGAACACGTCCTCTGAGATCTGTTCCCGAAATCTTATGTGTTTCTGGTAAGAGAAAAAACATCGATGAGTGTACGGGTTACATAAAGCAACAACTATGATTGGCGAGATCATGATCACTATGAAGAAGATGAATATGAAAAATTCAATGAGCAGCTTTACTATGTTTTGGAGATCTAGGTTAGGTTCGGTGTTGACTCTCTGTCGAGCGTCCAGATCTTCACCATAGGGTCGTGGTCCACGGAACTTGGACTACCACCTCCACTCTGACGAGATGAAATACGTCGTCCCGCCTGTCCTGCAGCATTAAGACCAATAAAGGCTCTGACTCTGACTCTGTAAGTACGTTCCCATATGTTGAGTTTTTCATATCTTACGTACTAGGTCGTGAAGCCTGGAGCAGGAAGATCGTAAGCATAAGTTGTTACACTGGCTCTTTGAAAAGTTTGGAAGTCTTCATCTATTTTGAGCGAAGGACTAGATGACTGCGATTCCGGTTACTTAGGGCGAGCAAGGTATACCAGTACTCTTGCCAGGAGTAAAAATGCTTACTAGACTCTTAAACATTTAAGTCATAAGTCTCATGGAGATCGAGATCGTATTTTTCTCCTTCTCCTCACTCAATTAATCCAAATTCTTTTTCACGGATCTCCTTGACAAGTCTGCCTTACATCATGATCACAATTACTGAAGATTAGCGTATATGTTATAAATGAAGAAAAGCTTATCTTAAGTATATGTTGAAATGGTGTTGTATGTTTGTTGTAGTTGCGGAAAGTTAATATTGCTCTGGTTTATTCACGATTGAAATAAATTCTACGATATTTTTAGTGTTGGTGTACGTTGGTGATTATTTTTTTAGTCCTGTAGTTCTTCTAGTAAATCCTTCACAATTTTTTTATCCTATGAATGTTAATGATGTGTAGATCTAAATTCTGTAATACTCATGTGTACAAGATGTGTAATTCTTGAAATATTCTCATGCAGTCGAATTCTGATACTACCAAAATTAATCAACGATATTAGTTCTTGCCCATCTTCTGTTCATCTTGTTGTCCATCATCGTGTGGAAGGCTCATCCTATTTTTGATGAATTGGCGTTTCCTCGAATTTTCGTGCCACAAGTGTCGTTGTCCTCGTTCACGAAGAAGTGCTCTTCATGCTTGTGATTGTTGTGCTGGTTCTTCGAGGAAACATCCTCCCACTTTTTCAGACGTCCATCAACATGAAGACGTCCATCTCCATGAAGATGATCATTCTTCTCCACTATCCCCATGATGACCATTCTACTCCACGACGGACTTCTACTCCCGTCATCTAAAAATTGTAGTTGTACTACTTCTACAACTAATAGAATTCTCGTCCTCCACAACCTCCTCCACCCGCTGCTATAGTTGTACTACTTGTACTACATGTACTTATTCCACTGCTTCCTATTATTAGAGAGCCCCGCAGTAGTTCATCTTTTAGCACCTGCATCTGCCTTGAAAAAGATCTTCTGCATCGCACGAGAATAGATACTCAAGCATAGTACTTTTCAAGGATGCAGCACCAAGAGATGAATTTGAGTTATCTGCAGCTCTTTCTCTACTAGCCTTAACAATAATATTTTTAACGGCAAGAAGAGGAAGAACAACCATTATTGCAGCATTGGTAGAAGGAATTCTTTGTCGCGTCATACGCGCCTTTCTCCACTTCTTTATTAGAGGAATAAAAGATTGTTCTTAGTAGTTATTGAGCTTGTAAACTTCTTTATTGGAGGAACAAAAAAATCATAGTAGTTAGTGGCAATTGGAGCAGTAGTGTACTACCCAATCGCGGGGTATATATGATTTAGTTCGATTTGAGCTTGTAAACCTCTACTAGAACCACTCTCTTGTTATCTATATTTTTTTTAGAATACATGGAGGGTGGAGTAGGAGCACACCTACCGTAGTCTTCTAATCCATCTCTGGAAGAGCAGGATGAATGGACTACAGCTACTGTAGTCTAATCCAACTTCTCTGGAGGATCGGGGTCAAGAAGTAGATGGGCAAATATTGAGAGTTTAGAACTAGAGTCTCTAGTTCTAAAAATGCGATGGAAAACTTCTGACCAGAGGACATTCTCTTGAATTATGGTTGCAATTTCTTACTGGAGGACCTCAAGATGAATTGAAAGTGTAGATGAACTGACCAGACACACGACACGCACGACACGCACACGACTCCTGGTGCATTCATATATTTAGCATCATTCTGTAATCACAGTGTCTATAGCCATAACTTCCATCGGAACTTTGTACGATTCCTTGCTGGGCTTCTCGACGTCAATCAGTCTTAGAAGGAAAGCAAGTGAAGTACTGAAGATAACCATACAAGTACGACCCAAAGTAGCAGCAACCATAATCATCATGATCACCACAGGTCTTCTTGCTCATAATTGAAAGGTTGTTGGTTCTCAAGTAGTAAAGATGTTTATTTGATAACATACAGCAATGAGTAGGATCATACAAGTAGGCAACTGCTATGGAGGGATGACGATGATGATGATGATGATCATGATAATGATGCATCTAAGTAATGAAAGTCCTCATCAGGAGCTCTCTTATGTTGCCGCGTCCGACCACTAGGAGCGAGCAGAGGCTCAAAAATATAAGATGTTGTTTTTAGGAAAGTAGTTCGTTTCTACTAAAAATTGTAATTTCAGGAAAGTAGAAGTCATATAGATGTTTTATTGGTGCTCCTAGAATTTGAATAAATATTTACGATAGAAGTACTAGGCCAAGGTCAAGGTCATCATGTTGTAAACTCATGGCGGCCATAAGTGTCCGTAGGTGTTTTGCTTCCAGTCCTCCAATTTTGATTTTTTTCCTTTGTCATTTTTAAACCTGACTTAGAACCAAGAGGTTGTTGTAGTTACACATAAAAATCATTTTCTATTCCATCTCAACTTCTTAAAAAGAACTAAAATAATTCATTCTTGAACGCTTCCAATCATGATATGAAAAACCTTCACGGGGGGATCATGGTGATGAATGCCATTAATATGGTGAGTAGCACTCTAACAAGGCCGTGAAGACCACGCAGCATTATGCTACTTTGGGGTCTCAAATTCTTATCAACTTCTTCTAGTACGGGGTGCATACTACAGCAACAAGATCTTCCTCTTTTCTTGTGTACTCATGTGGATCTTTCTCGTTGGGACGACCGACGAGGCCGTAAAATTATGTGAGTGGAGGATTGGGAATTTATCATTATTATATTACTACTCTACCTACTCTACGAAAAATCCTACTAATATCCTCAAGTAGACCAAAACGAAGCCATAAAAATAAACCTCCTGACTCAACCCAGAGCCGCTGCCGCAGACCGCGTTGTAGGCCAAAACAGTGTTGTCCATTCGCCTTTTCGAAGCACCAACAGCGGCCGCAAGTATCTTAGAGCAGGAGATGACGAAAAGTTCTTGTTTGTTTGTTTTCACCACGAGAAATTCTTCT